GATTGTGAGGATTTGTTCATTAAGGGGGAAAGTTGTTGATGAAATGAAGGTGATGGTTAAGGAAAGGGTTATTTATTACTATTGCTGGAACCAGGAGTGCCATAAGCCGGTTGGATTTGGAGGGCTTGTTGTTCGGGGGTTTGTTCGGTTGATTGATTTTCGGAAAGGTTCAATTGATCTAATTCATCAGGAATTTCTAAATCAAACTGTCCTGTTTGTCCGGCATTATAAAATATATCATTAATCTCCTTACTATTTTGAGGTTCTGGCAAATTATTAAAATCTAACAAACGACTAGTATAAAATGCCGAAGGGTGAATCTTATAATCAAAAGAAGTTAAATTATTTAAAAATTGCTCTCTTTCTTTGAATTGTTTAAAGAACTCAGTATTTTTTTGGCTGTTTACTTCCCCTACTCAGTTATTTAAAATCCTGTTTAATTCATTAGCCGTTGGCCTCTTTGCCGGATCAGCATCTCAACATCGTCCGATTAAATCCTTTAATAGTTGAGGGATTTTAACTTTAAATCTCGGACGAAGTCCTTGACAAATTTGTATTACTAAATCATTGTCATGAGCTAAATCAGGATAAGGAGGCAAACCAGAAATTACTTCATAGGCTACCATGCCTCAAGAATAAATATCCGAAGCAGGAGTATATGCTTTTTCTCTTAAAACTTCTGGTGCTATGTAAGGCATCACTCCAAAAACTTTGCTTTCCTTATTTGCTTCGTTAACTGGCTTACATAGTCCTAAATCAGTAATGAAACTGTGAATATCACTATTTAAGATGTTCCCAGAATGGAAATCTCGGTGTACTAGGTTTTTAGAATGGATATCTTTTAATCCTTGGGCAATATTGACTAAACGAGAAAGTTTATCTTTAAAGGTTAAATTTTTGTTTTTTAAATATTTTCTGAGGTCTCCTCCTTCGATGTATTGCATGACCATGAGATAGTTTTTGGTTTTTGGATCTTGGGATAAACCATAACAAGGAACAATGTTGTTAAACCAGTCGTCGATTATTTTGTGTTTGGCAGTTTCATCAAGAAAATCAGTATTATTTTGGGAGTTATTAAGGATTTTAAGGACAACTGTTAACAAGTTTTCTAACTCTGCTTGTAGTTGGTTTAATTCTTCTTTAGTCTGACAAAGATTATTTATTTCTTTCTCAGTTAGTTTTTCACTCAATCCAGGCTCGATATTTTCTAATTCCTTAATAAATTCTTCTTTAGTAAGAGGAAATTTTTGAAAAAGTGAATTTAACTTTTCTTCTTTTGCTTTCCGTTTAGAGTCAAAAAGTTTAAGTTTATTCCGACCTTTTTTTTCCTTGGTTAAATTGATTAGGTTTTTTAAAGCAACTTCTTTTTCCTTAAGTTCTTCCTTGATTAAATTGATTAATTCTTCTAAAACAATTTTTTTTTTCTTAATTTGTTGCCGCAGTTTTTGTTGATCCATTCCTCTTTTCCATTGTTTCTTTTTAGTATCCCAATGGTAAATATTTCCAACCATTCACTTGGCTTTATAAACTTTGCCAAAACCACCTTCTCCAATTGGTTCAGGATCAACTTCAAATTGTTCGTAAGGTATTCATTCTAAAAACTTATTAGCCTCAGTAGCTTCTAGTTGGTATTTTTGGATGAATTCATCTATTTGGGAATTATGGCTGGTTCATTTAGAAAAACTCTCCTGTAAACGAGGAACATTACAAGGTTGACATCATTGATCTCCAGTGTTAGGTTGGTTGCATTCATAACATAAGCCATATTTTTTGAATCTTTCACTTAGTATTTGGTAGTCTTCTTGATAGTTAGTGATTCATTCGGAACCAAGGTTTTTGGTATCTCTGAATCAAGCCACAAATTTATAATCATCTAATGTGGCTCCAGCTTCTATTCAT